CATATTTTTACCCTAAATAATATATACGTTTAGTTATGATAACATTTCTTCTCCTTGAATGTTGTGGTTACATTATGTCGATTCCATATTTTACATATTTTTTTATCAATTGATATACAATAATCTTCATTTTGTGTGTGAAAATCAATTTGTTTGATTGGAAAACCATAATTATGATCTTTAATAAAATAAGGTTTTTGAGCTCGAATATCAAACATCAGAATCTTCAAAAAAAAAGATAAAAAATGTTAAAGATAAAAATGTTTATGTCAAGATGTTTTTTTATCTACCTGTCCTGTTGTCATACCAACACCAAGATTTAATCCATCTTTAAATTTTACACATGAAACACCAGGTATTCTAAAATCAATAAAACAAGACTAATATGTATCTAATATATAAAATTGTACTTACTGATTTGTATCGTTATCAATATACAGTGCACAATCTAACATACCAGCACTTGTACGTGCACGTGGATCATAACATTCTACATGACCCTTTAACAATTATTCAAATTAATTTAGTACTTGAACAACAATTACTACTTACCTCGATAGATCCACACACAAACAACTCATGATCGGTATTAAATTGACATGCATTAAATCCGCTAAATAAAGAAATATCAAAATTTTAAATGAAATATCATCAGAAAAACTTTTGCCATACTTCGAACTCGTTTGTAAAGGCTGCAAAAATTGTCCCTGCTCCAAATTAAATCGAAATATTTCATTGCTAAAAAACGAATAAAGATGCTTGCAAACATTATCGTACTATGAAGACAAAAAAATATAGTACAGTTATTACGCCTTCATGACGGACTACTATCACTTTTACCGTCCGCGCTCATTCGATTTTGTTCTAATATATGTTTTTTTCTTTTACCTTGCGCCAACAACATAAAGATCACACGATGAATAACAATAATCGAAGTCTCGTCCAGTTTTTGGTATACGTGTTGTATAATAATTTCCCGACTGAGCATGAAATTCAATATAACGATTTGTATGCATGAATACAACCTGTGAATAAAGACAAAACTTACTACTGTTACAACTGATAAACACAGAATATGCATTTACTTTTGAATAATCATCTGACAAAATTTTCATTTTTATACATTCATTATCAAAACAACGTTCAAATTTCAATGATAATTCATTTACGTCATAACAACGTACACGCGGTTTATACAAACCTTAATTTCAATAGAAGAATTCATAAAAAGTGAAAAAATTAACTCATTAATAATTGACATACCAGTGACAAAAATATATTGTCCATCTCTTGTCAACGCAATGTTATTACTGAGTTGAGGCATTTCAAATCCTTGTATTAGTTCAATACGCTGTTGAAGATCTAAATTATTTATGATCCATTAAATACATATTTAGCATAATACTCATTCTCTAACTAACCAGAATCCTTCTTTTTTAGTTTTCGACGTTTGTAATCAGTTAACCATTCTGGTAATGATTTTCCAGAACTCAAATTATAAACACGAACGTCATTGACATTTGTCACTTGCATTATTTAACGCAATTTTAAAAACAAATCTAAAATTAGACATACACATCGTTTCGAAAAATCCAAATACTTCATTATCATTTAGATTTGAAGTTCAATTAACGCTGAGTTTCGTATGTTTTAAATATTTGCTCTTCTTGGATTAACTTTGATTACTTCTACAGTCAGCTTTTGTTAACTAATATTTATGTTCGTCTTTTCAACCACAGGTGAGATTGTGAAAATTCGAATTTTTGACAGGAAAATCAAAAAAGACTATAAAATGTGATGGTTTTTCTGTAGAAACAATGATTTCTTTTACATTCTAATCATCTTTTGAATAAATAGTCATCATTCCAGTACCGCTCTCTCGCTTTCTGATCATAATCCAACGAATCACACACAATGAATGAATCGTGCATGTCTGAGTGTTGGGTTCATCTCTCCTTAATCTCTCTTGCTGACAAACGCAGAAGATCAAGGAAAACCCCAATGACTATGTCTCATCTCATCTTAATCTCAAACATTTTTCTGAGAAAACCGATCAGAATACGTAGAAGTGCAGTATCGCAACTTCATTCAATCATGAATTGGTCGACAAGGGCAGACGAACACAGCCTCATGACTTTCATCATCGATTGTTACTCGTCACTATCAGGCAATGAGTTTGATAGACCAGCTCTTTTGTGAATTTGTACGACTATTTCTGTGCATGACTTTTCTCGTAGTGAAACAAGATTAAAACGAAAATGAACAGTGCTGAGTAAAATTATGATAAAAGGCAAAAAAGTATAAGAAAAAGTTCTTTTTGATTGAAAGAAAAGGAATTTTTAAGAAGAGGAATTTTTAAAAGAAATTTTAAAAAGACCATAAGGAACAGCTTTTAGATCATACGAGAGTTCAGGCTAAAAAAGTTCCGAAGTCTTTTCGTTCATTATCGAATCACTAAAATAAATTATCGAAAGTTCCGCTCATTTGCATACAGCAGCGTTCTTAACATTTATTTTCAAACCAATGACGAGAGGGCCACGCTAAGTGTATATGAAGTAGACCTGATCACAGTTTATTTCATCTTTCTGCTACTGATCTAGTCTAGTTCAAGCGATTACGTGTTCTTACACCGAAATAAAAGAAAAAGAAATGTATTCAATTAGTTCTAGAAAAATGATTATACGAACAAATGAAAGACGTTTCGGTGAGCAGGTGTTCTCATTCACAAAGAGAGGAGGCCTGAATTTGTATTATCTTTTCTTCTAAAAATTGTTTTATATCTCCACTTTGAATCTAAAGGATCAATACTGTCTTTTTTATGAAAAAATGTATGAAACAACGAAAGGGTTCAGCTAAGAGATTCAAACAGGTTTCCCCAGAGATTTTGACAAGTAGAGAATTTAATGTAATGGATAAGAGAGTAGAATAAAATAAAACAACATTGACATTCAAATAGAAAGGGACAAACACACAAAAATCTCGAAATTTTGTTATTATTGAACAATTTTATTTATATATTCGTAAAATACATCCAAATTTCTATTTTTTGAATATCATTATATTATCGTTGATATCATATTTATCCTTATGTGTTAAAACTATGAAGCGTAGTTGAAAATCATAAAATATTTCGTTCTTTATATGAGGCACCGGACTAAAATTTTTCAATTTTATCTAGAAAAAATTCATATACTTTATCGTATATCGATCGTTGACTAACACAATGGCTTCAGACTTAAGATGACAACATAGAGAAAGAATTCGATTATCTAAAATGAAGGCGTAAAGGGTAAGAGAAAAAAATCGGGATGAATCAGAGTAATAATATGGTTATAATTTCTGCTTTTTATTCTTAATATCAGATAAATTTGCCTGAAGATGCTATATAAACGTGGCGAAAGAACCATACTGTATTGCCATCTTAATGCTAACATTTGTAAAAGTTCTTCAAAAACAAAAAGAATGGTTTGTCACAATGAAATATCGAACTTTGGCACGATTAGATCATTTATAGTCAGTAGTAAACAAAAAAAATACTCTTCCACCACGCGGATCAATTGTCTTACATGTCGAGCTGCACCTATCCTAGTTTTTCAAGACAGCTTTTCTCGCAATCTTGACACTCCAGACTACTTGTGTTTCACAACAGTTCCATCATCTTCACAAAAACCAAATATCATGCGCTATCACCTTGAAAAGAAAATGTGATAAAGTATAATAGCAACAAATAATAGAATATATTCAGTTGTACCATAGAAAGCAATTTAATTTTAATAAAAAGATCGATTCTTTAGTGCTACAACGTTGAGTCTCTAATAACTGTTCGTCTGTAAGATAGTGGTAAAAGCCCTGATTTAATAACATCTGTAAGGATATTAGTAGTCGAATAATGAACGACTGATTAATTGTCAAAAGCACTCATAAAACTAACTTCAAGTTTCGAGAAAAAACGAATGGAATAAAATCATTTAAGTATAGCATCTACCCTCCTGTCTAAATGGAGAAATCCAATAGTCTAAAATAGTATTAAAACAAAGTAACATATTTTACTTTGACTTTCATAATTAAGTTTGAGTAAGAAAAAAATCATCGTTCATTTGAACTCTGACGGTGCAGATATATAAACAAAATAAAACACTAGTTTATAAACATGATTTCATACAACGATTTCATATAGGAAAGATAGTTAAAAATAGATTTGAAATTTTATTACAGCAGAACCATCGAAAACTTTGTTAATTAGCCAATTTTTGCAATTACTTACCAAAATTAGCGTAAATTGACGTTTGATTAGTGAGGAAGCACCTACGTCTCCAAACCGGATATATAATGCTTAAGTGATGATTAAATATAAAACTGTTCTGATAGGCATATTTTATTTCATAAAATATACATTCTCACATGACAAAAATACAAAACACATTGAGAAGAACAAAATGTCGATGTAATATACGTTTCAAAGGAGCTTCAAGAAAAAAAATGTCTATTTCATTCGGTCTTTTTAATTTCTACGCCTAGCATAGAAACAAATACAAAATCTCAACATTATACACGTATATTCACCGTTTACTTTCGATACGAAAGTTCAATGAACAGAACACGGTTTTGCCTTAGTGGACTAAGCATTTAGCGAGTTCAGATATTCATCTCAGGCTATTAGATTTGTGTTTATGTAGAAACAATACTTCAAACAAATCCGACAGACAAAGCAAATAAAATAAAACAACAACGAAAGAAATATACAAGTACACTAATTACAAACAACAAATTGAAATGAAATACGATGTAACACTGATAACATTACATAATAGCTTCTGAAGTAAAACTGAATTATTGCGTATTTTGTTGTTATCAAGTATACAATCGCTAAAAAAACAAAAAAAAATAACTAAATAACGTTTAGTAGATATATACATCGAGTACTAGGATACATTTTTGCAAGAATACATGTTGACTAATCACATTGACCTTTGATCTTCATCATTTTTTTAAAACCTTACTTATTTAGTGTATTGTTTTGCTGAACGTGTCGCAACACGATCATGCTTATCTTGATCCTGATCGTCCATTGTTTCGTTATAATCATTATTATTTTCATTAAATTTATTACCATTTTGTATAGATTTTATTTGTGCATTTAATATACACGCCAATTGCCATCGTTTCATTTCGATAACATTTCCACTCAATGGTACAGTGTCTACTTTAACATGTTCAAACCAAGATCGATACTTAAATATAATTTGTGGATATTTTAAACAAAAATCATAAAACCATTCATGTTGAATATAGGGCATACGATAATGATGATTTTCTAAAACAATTTCAATAGCTTTTTCCAATGCGTACGCTTGTGCTTCTTCAAATGTTAATTGTTTTCCACGACGATGATTGATAATACCCTCAACAATTTGTTTTTGTTCATAATTTGTTAATACAGGAAGAGCGGTTTGAGATAAAAGAACAATGGATGACATGGATGGTTGTTCATTGATCGTTGATGATGTTACTGATGGTTGTAAATGGGTTGGTGATGTTACGACAGGAGAAACTAGACGATGATTTGACGACGGTGTAATATTCGGAGATGATAAGGATACAGATTTTGGTGAAAACGTTTTATTTTTATCAATATTGTAATCGTACTCATCGTCACTTTTGTTGTTGCGAATATTTTGTTGCTTTGATTTGTTTGTTGATGGCGATCGATAGACTGTTCTAGGTACTGCTCTCGTTTTAGATGAAGTCGTAACGCCATGTATAGGCGTTGTTTTCACTTTCATAAAGAAGGATTCATTCGATGGTGGTGATGATGACGGCTAGAGTGTCAAAAAGAATAATAAATGAGTAGTGATAAACGGAACAAAAAAACCTCTTCAGAGCTAATATTCATAAAGCTTCCCATGAAAACTGGATCAACAAAAACTTAACAGCCAACCGACACGTACTGCTCATTTTAGTTGACACTACTATTTTACATTGAAAGTGAACACTCAAAAACCTTTTATAGAAGGAGAAAAGAAGCTGATTGATTTCTTACTACATTTGACATTGTTGATTGTTGTACATTCGTTAATTTTTTCTTATTGCCACTATTACTACTTGACGAATGTTGTTTTGAGAAACGTTTTTCTTCACCATTATCTTTCTTTATTTTTGTATGACGTGCTTTTAACGTTGGAGAATCGCCAGATTTTCTCGAATGTGGAACAAAAACGATTGGCTTTTTTGGTGATACTAAAGATTTTGTTCGCGACTGTGTCGAGGTCGAATTTAAATCTGAGTTTATGACTAATGGTGAAGAATAAGAAAATTCATGTTGTTGATTAGATTCAGTGGATAATGACGAAGATGATTTTCGACGTAGTTTAGTTGATCTTTTTGCTTTTTTATTCGGACTTGGCTAGAAATAACAAATAACAATATGTGTATGATATGTAAAATCAAGCATTTTCAAAATGGATTACTTCGTTCAGAGCATACTCATCATGTGAATTTGTCTTTTTGTCATCACTTAGTGTTCTCTGTCGTCGTCGCCGTCGATCAGAAGAAGCAGCTAAAAAAGAGATGAATTAATCAGACTAAATAAACTAAATAAACTATTAGGTATCACTGACTTACGTAAACCAAAATGTTTTCCCGTTGCTAATAACTCTTTTAAGAGTTCTCCAAACTCTTTGATACGTTGCTCTTTTGATATTTTTAGTGCTTGATCGGCCAATTCAATTGCCTCATCCCATTGTAAACGTTTTTTCATACTAACTTTTAATTGATACATATTTGCCAAATGTTGTTGTTCACCTTTTGTACTTGCCTAAAAAAATGAGAATTCTAATGTATTACTAATATTGTATAAGACATTCTGATATACTTGTTGAACAGCTGTTTCAGCATGTTGAATAAACGACGACAAACCAGCGTATTTCAATAATGACGCTGAATAAATCCAACTGTACTCCAAATATGGACCATAGAAATACACGAAATATTGTCGCTTTGATATATTTCCAGAATCTAATCAAAATACAATTTAATTTGTGAAATATCAATTAATAGTCGAAAGTGATATGCTGACTTACTTAACGTTTTTGTATATATACCATTCTCTGTATGGCAACCAAAAATTAGTGCAGGCCACCTTTTCGTATAACAAAACAAACAATAGATCAAAATTAGATACTGAATTAATATCTCATTTTCTTACCACGGATAACCCCCAAGACGAGCCTTTAAGAAAATAAAAATAACTAATTAGAAGATAAAAATAAAGGTAGATATGTGCTTACCCAAACAATTTCACCTTCTTCAAATGTATCTGGCACAATATTTGACGGGATAACACCATTTTCATTAATTATTGAGTTTTCATCATCATAAGAATATTGTCTTTTTGTACTTAAAGATGACGAACGATTTTTTCCATTTTCATTTGATATAGTGTTGTTGGTATTATTTTGTGTTCGATGATTATTATCAAAAATAAAATCTGAATCCTGTTTTGTTCGACGCTGACGTTTTGTTGGAATACCGTCATCTAAAATCGTCACTCATATTTGTTAAAAAATATGTAGATTAGTTGAGCACAACAATAATACAATACCTGAAGTATGATCGGTATAATTATTTGCCATAATAGTGATTGTGAGCGTAAGTGTATTATGGTATCTGAAATATATAAAAAACAAGGCATTTTTCGAAATAAACAGATTAAAGGACTTCGCATTTAACATCAAATTCGAAGAGTAAAAATAGAAGTTAGTCATATTATCTCACGATTTAGAAATGTTAAGAAAAAAATAAGTATGGATGTAATCACAACTGAACGAGAATGGTTTGATGACGTAAGGAAGTTTTTGCTATATTTCTCATGAAGAAATCAAGCTAAAGGAGGAATCAATGGGAAAACGCGATGAATCGAGCTATCTATGCCGGTCAGTCGAACTGTTAGTACTATTTACAGCTTTTCAGTTCGGAGCTATAAAACGTCTTTTTGAAACTTTCTTGGTTTCAAAGAACTTTAATCAATTAAAAACTTTCACATATTTCACTGAGTCTGTTCACGAATGCAAAAAGGGCTGCTTCCTCTATGTCCGTGACTCGCAGCCATTTTCAAACAGACTTCTTTGTCAGCAGAACATTAAACAGTCTTATCTACTATCAAATAACACGTGGAAATATCGTATCAAAACAAAAAAAACTTCGATCAGGAATGTGATCGAAAAATACATGTCATCGCAAAATAACAACAAGGAACACATTACAAAAAAATAGTCTACAAAACTCTCTAATGACAAAAACTATCTGACTTATCGGTACATTAATAGTTTTCTGATTTGCTTTCTTAGAAAAGGACAGAAGTATCAAAAAAAAGTTTGATCTACTAGATATCGCCAGATCTATGTCATTATCTGCAGGCATGATTGATTTAACACCATCAAACCATTAATGACGATGAAATATGAGCATTGGATGATATAGGAAAAAATCAACAAATCAGGTTATCTCTTTCATTTTAGAACCATAACTATTCTCAATAATCAAGACAGTCATGCATTCAACAGAGAGTTACTCAGCGATGAATGTTAACTTTTCGTAATGATGGATGATTAATCGAATCTTTTGCTGCCAAAATCTTTTTCTGATTTTATCAATAGTAGCGGAAAAATATCAGTTAAACCGGAGTACAATTAAATTTCATGGATTGCATTCTACATAGTCTTGAAACTTTTGAGATAAGATGGTCATAGATGAAGAAAAGTATATTTTACTCTGCATATAAACGTTGGCAAAAGCTGCCTCAAATGACTTCGAATTATGGTGAACTAGTGAGAAAAAATTTCCAGTAAACTGAGCGAATCTTCAAAGATTTTTCCTCTAAACAGAACAAGAATAACGCATGAATATGTTCTTAATTTGTGGTATTTGTTTTGATACTTCTCTATTTGAACATATCTTATATTTTCATGCTGGTACATTAATTGTATTAATGAGTAACAACACATGCAGCGATATAACTGATATATAATCGAGATGAAAAGTACTGAAGAACTTTTTAAATGAAGATTATATATCTTACATTTTGGGATGATTTTAGTTGTTGTTCATATATTTAATAACGAATAAGAGAAATATAATATAAAAGAATAAGAATATTTGTCTCAATTTGTTGATGAGTTTGCATTTTTATCACAAAAGATAAGCCATCATTCTTTGTATTTCCTCGTTCTGTTTTTTTTTCTTTTCGGTTATAATGATTGTTCATCTAACATCGATTTGATTGACTATAATTGTTTTAGTTGACTAGGCTGTTATCTAGTGCTTTTTTATAATGCTTAATCAACTAAATCAAGCAATTTATTCCAAAAATTTTTATCAACCGAGCAACACCAACTTTTAGATAATATCACCTTTGATAATCTTTTTTTCATGAAGAGAGTAACCTAAAAAAAATGAAAGCATCAAATAAGACAACTGCGACAAATATTTTTTTGCGGTATTTTAGAATCTAAACCGCAATACTTGTATCTGACTCACATACATTGCTATAATGGTATCGGGTGCAAATAAAATTAGTCAATTCAAGAACACATTTGAATAACAATATCTTTGCTTTAATAAAAAAAAGTCTCAAGACACCGTACAACGACGTAAAACTCAGACTAATTCCGAAAAACAATGGCTCATGAGTCAACTAATTACTGAATATGATAAATTAACTTGTTGGAAACATAAGCCATGTGCTGCCTCATTATGACAGCATCATGAACAAAAAAGATATTCTCCTTAAAAAAAGAGACCTAAGAAATCAGACCACATGGATGTATTTCGTTTTTTACGCTTCGGACAAGAAATGCGATTTTCTGCTATACATAAGTCATTAGTTAGACTTCATCCATTAAGAAAACGTGTCTAGAATAATAATCTGTAATCAATTTCAGATATAAGAACGGCGGGACGGAAGTTGGATCAACGATTGAAGAATTTCAAAATGAGCTTTTGAAAGTGTTAAAAATATGATTTACTGGTTTATTCGGAGGACATCGAAATCACTACTACATATTATCGAAATTTTTATCAACTGAGCAAGACCTGATACAAGTGAAAACAACAAAGGGTTCCTGTATGCCATTTCACGTTCGCAGCTGCAGCAGAGCTGTAGTATCAGGAACATATGAGATACGCATCCAAACATCACAGATAATTAAACAGAACAAACAAACTTCTATATGAATAAAAAGTTTCACTTTGTCTTGCTAAGAAGCGCAACTGTGAATAAATGTCATGGACGATAGTTCTGTGACTGATATGAAAAATGCAGCTACATTTGAATGAAAAACGATAAAACAAAAACGAATTCTGTCCTGTATAAAGCATAAAATACTTTCACAGCCGTATTCAAAGATAAAGAGAACGATTAATGATTGTATAGGATGATGAATAAGAGCAACTCTCTCAAAAGCTTACAATCTTAATAATATAATACAAAAAAGTAGAAAAACATGTGATTTATTATCAATAATTCATGCACTTGACAAAGTTTTTTTCCATAAAACATAAACAACAAAGAAAAATGGAAACATTCAAAGTATACACATGTTTAGATTGAAAAACTAACAAAAAAATCTGACGTTTGAAAACAATAAACACTAGAGTAAAGAAAAATGAATTGTTTTTTCAGTTTTGAAAAAATATAAAAGTTTTTTAATGACTTTAATGTTCTCTTCGAGATTGAATTCTCTCTCTCTTGCACAGGATTAGAAGTGTTTGAAACAATAGAACAAAAGCGGTTCTAAACTTAACTAGGCACACATAAGCCAAAGATGAATAAGGAAAAATCTATTTACAAATTACAAAATATTTTTGAGTCTGTCAAAGAGGATTGTTTAATTCAAAAATTTGTATAAACAAAAAAATGAGTTGAGACAATGAATTAAATATCTCTTTTATGTTTGTATACAAAAAAGAGAAAAATGAGAACAACGATCAAACACCGGAAAAGAAAACAGGCATATTGTATATGTAAAAGAATTGTACCATGACATAAAGGTCAAAACTAATTATCGTTTAACGGATAGTATAAAGAAATAGTAAAAACAACATATAAATATTTACAAATCGGGTAGAAATACATAATACAGTCTTTGATACAAAGAACTGAATGTATAGTTTAGGAACAAGATTATCGTGAAGATGTTTACAGACAAACATCGAACTAACCCAACGACTACTATTAAAACTGATAAGTCGATTTATTTTCTAAGACATATGGCTCATCGATCATCCACGAAATTATGATAGCATAAGCAAAGCAGAGTTACTAAGATGTTTTACTTGGCTATCTCTAGTGAAACCTATAATTTATTTTGTATAGTTAACCTAACAACGGAAATGAACAATGGATAAGAGAATTTGTATTTTCACACATCTTATTTCTCACTTATTCCTTTCTGATCGTCGAAATGAATTTCGTTTTTGTTTATTATTATCTTCTTCATCATCAATATCGTCATATTCTTCTTTTCTTTCTTGTTCTTGTTGTTCTGATGCGGTATGTGTTTTTACAATCGCTACTAGCTGCCATCGTTTTAGTTCAATCGTATTTCCATTCAATGGCATTGTGCTTGATTTAATATTTTCGAACCATTGTCGATGTTTGATAATAACTTGTGGATTTTTCAATAAAAAATCATAAAAATATTCTGGTTGAACATAAGTCATATGGTAATGATGATTTAAATTAACAATATCTGTTGCTTTTTTTGTAATATATGCTTGTGCTTGTTCAAATGTCAGCTGTTTACCAGCTTCATGATTTATTAGATCTTCGGCTAATCTTATTTCTTCATAAGTTGTTAGGGCTGGTATGCCGATTTCCAGTGAATGATAAATAGCTGCGGATAATGATGATGAAAGAGGTGGTGGTGGACAAGTGGGTTTTGTCAAAACAGATAAAACTTTAATATCTTCGTCGTTAATATCAGTTTTAATTGCTGGAGATTGAAGATTGGATTGTGAGGAAGGTTTAGCGGTTGACTAAACGAAAAACAAGAAAACATAATGAAACACACTTTATATTTTTGTTTATCTATGGATACTCACTAAATCGAGTAAGCCATTTGTTACTTCGACTCTTTGTATTTCAGTTGATTTTCGTTGATTATTTGTTGATATTTGAACATGTGATCGTTTTTTATACGGGCCTCGTATATAGGGACGTACTATAGTTGGAGACGTACCATTTGACTTGTTCGTTGTAATTGCTTCACGTCGTCTTTTTAGTGACACCGGAGATGATTCAGATTTTCTTTTTGATACTGGTGAATTTGATAAAGGAATTGAACTGTTATTATCAAGTAGAACATTTTTTGGTTTTCTGCCTCTTTTTCCCTTTCTTCGTACGGGCAACGGTGATAGTGATCGAGATGGAGTAACCGGATTCGATAGATAATAGCTCTTTGGTTTTCTTCCGGCTTTTGATTTTGGTTTGGGTAGAGGTGATGCATCAGACGAGTCTATTTCTTGATTTTGCACATCAGATGCTATTTTCTTACTGTATGATTTAGCCTCTCCATTTGACATCGGTGAAGCAGGTATAAATGATGATTTGCGCATAAGTGTTTTTGACTGGAAGAATGAATACAATAAAGGAATAATTATTTCTATCTTAACATGTATATTTCTTACTTCTTCATCAACTTCGACCTTCGGTCGTGCTTTTGATGTTGGCGAAGGACTTAATGATGGATGAACAAGTCTTTCCTCTTAATACGACAAAAAAAGTTATATACATTTCTACATTAGATAAAGAAATTGATTTTTTTTACCATCTACTGGAACGTGCAAACCGTTTAATATTCTATCCAATAACTTGCTAAATTCTTCTGTTCGTTTTTCTTTTGACATTGCCATAGCACGATCAGCTTCAGAAATGGCTTCGTCCCATAATGGCCGAGTTCGTTTAGAAACTTTCAGCTGAAAACGATTCGCTAACTCTTGTTGTTCAGTTTTTGTTGTTGCCTAAGGACAGAAAAAACAAAATGAATACAATTCCATCCTCAAAACCGAATCTATATTTAGGACTAACGTAAGTTACATAGATCTAGATTTCATTAATTCAACGCTTGCTCTTTAAAGAAAATATGAGTATCACAAAGATTTAGAGGCTAGAGATGGTTGTTTTGAAGAGTAATATCCCCTCAGATAAGACATGGAGGCAAACTGAATTTGAAAGATAAATACCTGATCCACTACACTCTCAGCATGTTCAATAAAATTTTTCAATCCATTATAACGAAATAACGATGCTTTAAATATCCAAGAATATTCGAAATGTGAGCCATAATAATAAACAAAATATTGACGTTTGTAACCACCTCGACTATTAGCAACTGTTTTAACATGTTGACCATTCTCAGAGAAGCAACCATAAACAAGCGATGGCCACCTAAAAGGACAAAACAAGAGATAAGAAAAACACAACTGAGAGTCTCCAGCCACTTACCATGGATGGCCATTAAGACGAGCCCATACAATATCTCCCACTTCAAATACTTCTTCCTGTTCGTTCAATGTATCATTCATAAACGATAATGACATAGATGACGTGGACGATGTTGATGGATTGCTTGCAAGTTGTGATCCAGGGTTATAGTCGAATATGAAATCATCATCTTGTTTAGTTCGACGTAAACGTTTTTCTTTCAGAGCATCGTCTAAACGGAGAAAAATATGCAACATACACTTTTTTAGCTAAATAACCCGATAAGTGAATTTTTCATTCTTTTGCTAGTTCTTCGAAATTTAGTCTTCATCCTATATGAGAACGACACTAATCTCTAAAACACGGATTAATAATGCTTAGAAATGTTACACACCTGATACAATGTCACTGCTAGACATTATTACAAGAAGAAATCTAAAATAAAAACAACGAGATGAACATAATAGTTCTCTACAACACTGAGAATGTTAATCATATTTGAGAAACATAAAGCAATAATCTTAATGTACTGTCGTCCAGTGGTTAACTTATTTCAGAACAACAAAATTTTGAGAAAAATATATCAGTGCATTGTGCCTTTCGCATGAGTGAAACTGCTTCAATAATTTACATCAAATATGAAAGCGACTGGTGTGTTTCTGAAACGGAACCGAGTCGAGCTGAAAATTTCTCATACTAATGAGAACGGAAAATTTTAAAAAGAAATTGATCGAGCGGGAAGCCACCTCGATCTATTTCATAGTCTTCATGTTGTTTCAAGATATATTTCTTTCTTGGGATACATCCAACAAACACGCAAAAAATAAGAGCATAAAAAAGTGATAGTTTTGTATTTTATTAAAAAATTTAATCCAGACTGAACGGAGTGTCACATCCTACATACACGCTTTGATCTATATCCCATAATAACCTAGTAAATTTAGTCGACAAAAGAAAGACAAGATAATTCATATAATTTCTATTATTAAAACTTAAATGGAATGAAACGTATTATCGTCGTCATTTTACGCACAGACAAAGAGAAAAATAAACAGTCATAATGCATAGCAAAAAAAACTGGAAGCTTTTTTTCAAAGTAGCATATGAAAAGAAAAATAATGCACAAGAAAAATATCTGTATAAATTGTACATACTGGAACGTACATATACAACATGTACAATGAAAAAATAACTACAAACACGAAAACAAAAAGTAACTACATAATCGTATTCAATAACGACAAATTAGAAACACACACTGAGAAAATACGACTAATTTTGATGCAACAGTGAGCTTCACATCAAACTTCGAGACAACAAAACTAACGAGGGAACTTCCCCAACTGATTCCTCGCTTTTGACTCCGTCTTTTGGCCATAAGTAGATCTTGATGAGACTAAGAAAACTCTAAAACCGTTTGTGCTTATGGCCCTTCGTTTCCGAGATATGGTC